CTTGCTGTGGTGCCAAGTGTTCAGTGGCAAGCTCACTTGAAGGCAGAGTCAACCCTTATGGGGACTCAAGATCAGTCACAACTACTTGGGAGGAGAACACAAAGACCGCCCGCTTTATTGCTGTGGTGCCAGATGTTCAGTGGCAGACTCACTTGAAGGTGGAATCAACCCTCATGGGGACTCCAGATCAGTCACAACTACTTGGGAGACACAAAGACCACCAGCCTTCTTGCTATGATGCTCAGTGTTCAGTGGCAGGGTCACTTGAAGATGGAATCAACACTGATGGGGACTCCAGATCAGTCGCAACTGCTTGGAGGGGAATACAAAGACCACTAGCTTTCCTGCTGTGGTGCCAGATATTCAGTGGCATGCTCACTTGAAGGAGGAGTCAACCTGGACGGGGACTCCAGATCAGTCACAGCTACGTGGGAGGAGAACACAAAGAACACCAGCTTTCCTGCTGTGGGGCCGGATGTTCAGCGGCTACCTCACTTGAAGGTGGAGTCAACCGTTACGGAAACTCAAGATCAGTAACAAGTACTTGGTAGGAGATCACCAAGTCTGCCAGCTTTATTGTTGTTGTGCAGGATGTTCAGTGGCAGTCTCACGGGAAGGTGGAATCAACCGTGACGGGGACTCGAGATCAGTCACAACTACTTGGGAGGAGAACGCAAAGACCACAAGCTTTCTTGCTGTGGTGCCAGGTGTTCCATGGCAGGCTCACTTGAAGGCAGAGTCAACCCTGATGGGGACTGGAGGTCAGCACAAATACTCAGGAGGAGAACAGTAAGACCGCCAGCTTTCTTGCTGTGGTGCCAGATGTTCAGTGGCAGGCTCACTTGAAGGTGGAATCAACCTGGTTGGGGACTCCAGATCAGTCAGAACTATGTGAGCGGAGAATACAAGAACGCCAGCTTATTTGCTGTGGTGCCAGATGTTCAGCGGCTGCCTCACTTGAAGGCGGAGTCAACGATGACGGGAACTCAAGATCAGTAACAAGTACTTGGGAGGAGAGCACCAAGTCTGTCAGCTTTACTGTTGTGGTGCCGGATGTTCAGTGGCAGGCTCACGTAAAGGCGGAATCAACCATGACGGGGACTCAAGATCAGTCACTACTACTTGGGAGGAGAACACAAACTCCACCAGCTTTCTTGTTGTTGTGCCAGGTGTTCAGTGGCAGGCTCACGTGAAGGTAGAATCAACCGTGAAGGGGACTCAAGATCAGTCACAACTACGTGGGAGGAGAACACAAAGACCACCAGCTTTCTTGCTGTTTTGCCGGATATTCAGTGGTAGGCTGACTTGAAGGTGGAGTCAATCCTGACAGGGACTCGAGGTCAGTCACAACTACTTGGTAGAACACAAAGTAGTTGGGACCGATCTCGTGTCCCTGTCAGGGTTGACCCTGCCTTCAAGTCAGCTTCCCACTGGACATCTGGCACCACTGCCAGTAACCTGAAGGTCTTTGTTTTCTCCTCCCAAGTACTTGTGACTGATCTCCAGTCAGACTGATCCTACTGCATGTTTTCTTGCTGTGATGCCAGATGTTCAGTGGCATGCTCACTTGAAGGCAGAGTCAACCCTGTCAGGGACCCGAGATCAGTTAGAACTATTTGAGTGGAGAACACAACCGCCAGTTTTCTTGCTGTGCTGCTGGATGTTCAGTGGCAGGCTTACTTAAAGGCACAGTCAACCCTGATGGTGACTCGAGATCAGTCACAAGTACTTGGGAAGAGAACAAATAGACCGCAGCTTTCTTGTGGTGGTGCCGGATGTTCAGTGGCAGTCCCACTTGCAGGTAGAATCAACCCTGATGGGGACTCAAGATAAGTCAAAAGTACTTGGTGGGAGAGCTCAAAGACCAGCAGCTTAATTGCTGTGGTGCTGAATGCTCACTGGCAGGATCAATTGAAGGTGAAGTCAAACCTGACAGGGACTCGAGATTAGTCATAACTACTCGGGAAAAGAACACAAAGACTGCCAGCTTTCTTGCTGTGGTGCCAGATGTTCCGTGGCAGGCTCACTTGAAGGTGGAGTCAACCCTGATGGGGACTCGAGATCAGTCACAACTACTTCGGAGGAGAACTCAAAGACCACCAGCTTTCTTGCTGTGGTGCCAGATGTCCAGTGGCAGGGTCACTTGAAGGTGGAGTCAACCATGATGGGGACTCGAGATCAGTCACAACTACTTGGGAGGAGAACACAAAGGCCGCCAGTTTTCTTGCTGGGGTGCCAGATGTTAAGTGGCAGGATCACTTGAAGGCGGAGTCATCCCTGATGGGGACTTGAGATCAGTCACAAATATTTGGGAGGAGAATATACAGACCGCCAGCTTTGTTGTCGTGGTGTCGGACGTTAATTGAGTGGCATGCACACTTGAAGGCAAAGTGAACCATGACGGCGACTCGAGATCTATGCAAAGTACTTGGAAGGAGAACACAAAGACCATGAGCTTTCTTCCTGTGGTACCAAATGTTCAGTGGCAGGCACACTTGAAGGTGAAATCAACTCTGACATGGATTCAAGATCAGTCAAAACTACTTGGTAGGAGAACACAAATACCACCTGCTTTCCTGCTGTGGTCCTGGATGTTCAGGGGCAGGCTCACTTGAAGGTGGAGTCAACCTCGATGGGGACTCATATCAGTCACAACTACTTGGGAGGAGAACACAAAGACCGCCAGCTTTCTTGCTGTGGTGCAGGATGTTCAGTGGCAGGCTCACTTGAAGGCGGAGTCAACCTGGATGGAGACTCCAGATCAGTCACAACTACGTGGGAGGAGAACACAAAGAACACCAGCTTTCCTTCTGTGGTCCTGGATATTCACCAGCAGGCTCACTTGAAGGTGGAATCAACCCTGAATGGGACTCAAGATCAGTCACAACTACTTGAGAGGAAAACACAAAGACCGCCAGCTTTATTGCTGTGGTGTCGGATGTTCAGTGGCAGGCTCACTTGAAGTTGGATTCAACCCTGCTGGGGACTCCAGATCAGTCACAACTACTTGGGAGGAGAGCAGAAAGACTGCCAACTTTATTGCTGTGGTGCTGGATGTTCAGTGACAGGCTAACTTGATGGCAAAGTCCCCTTAAGGGGATTCAAACTCAGTTACACCACTTAAGAGGAGAACGCAAAGACAACCAGCTTTCTTGCGGTGGTGCTGGATGTTCAGTGGTAGGCTCACTTGATGGCAAAGTCAATTCTGACGGGGACATGACATCAGTCGTGTCCACCGCTATCTTGTGGTGGTGCCAGATGTTCAGTGGCAGGTTCACGTGGAGGCAGACCCAACTCTGACGGGGAGTTGAGATAGGTAACAAATCCTTGAGAGGAGAATATAAAAACCGCCAGCTATCTTGCTGTGGTGTCAGATGTTCATTCCGTGGCAGGCTGACTTGAAGGCAAAGTAAACCCTGACAGTGACTCTACATCAGTCACAACTACTTGGGAGGAGAACAGAAAGATTGCAAACTTTCTTGCTGTGGTGCCAGATGTTCAGTGGCAGGCTCACTTGATGGCAAAGTCAACCCTTAAGGAAACTGGAAGTCAGTCACACTACTTAAGAGGAGAACACAAAAACAACCAGCTATCTTGCTGTGCTGCTGCATGTTCAGTGATGGGCTCACTTGAAGGCAAAGTCAACCCTGATGGGGACATGACATCATTCACATTACTTAAGAGGAGAATACAAAGATCACCAGCTTTCTTGCAGTGGTGCCGGATGTTCAGTGGCAGATTCACTTGCAGGCAGAGTCAACCCTGACGGGGACTTGAGATCAGTCACAAACAGTTGGGAGGAAAATAACAAGACTGCCAGCTTTCTTGTTGTGCTGCTGGATGTTCATTCAGTGGCAGGCCCACTTGAAGGTGATATCAACCCTGACAGGGACTCGTGATCAGTCACAACTACTTGGGAGGAGAACACAAAGACCACAAGCTTTTCTGTGGTGCCGGATGTTCAGTGGCAGGCTTACTTGAAGGCAGAGTCAACTCTGTCAGGGACTCGATATCAGTTAGAACTATTTGGGTGGAGAACATAACCACCAGCTTTCTTGCTGTGTTGAGGGATGATCAGTGTCAGGCTCACTTGAAGGCAGAGTCAACCCTGATGGGGACTCGAGATCAGTCACATCTACTTGGGAGGAGAACACAAAGACTGCCAGCTTTGTCGTTGTGATGTCAGATGTTCAGTGGAAGGCTCACTCTAAGTTGGAATCAATCTAGATGGAGACTCAAGGTCAGTAACAACTACTTTGGAGGAGAACACAAGGACTGCCTGCTGTCTTGCTGTTGTTTTGGATGTTCAATAGCAGGCTTATCGGAAGGCAGAAGTATCTTGAAGGGAACTCGAGATCAATCAGAATTATTTTTGTTCAGTAGCAGGGTCATTAGAAGATGGAATCAACCCTGCAAGGAACTCGCTTTTACCTTCAATATTTGGGGGTTGGGGGAAAAAATCCAGGTCTTGGTGGAAGATTTGGAGGAAAACCCCTGGGTGGATAGGCATTCCTCACTGCAAATGGAGCATATGGTGGACCTGGGAAATAGCTTGGTGGAAAATCACGTGGAGAAACTTCAAACAGGGTTCCTGGTGGAGGTGGGGGAAAAGGAGTTCCTCTTCTCATGTCGGTAACATATGTGTAATGCTCTCTGCCAAACCCTGTGTTTGGAACATCAACTGCAGAAGGATCTTTGTGTAAAAATTTGAATTTCCTCTCTGTGTCAGCTAATTTTTGTCTGTACTTAGCATTTTCTTTCCTGAAGCCATTGAGGTTTATTTCAGCAGTCCGAGCTGCCAACCAATTGTCATGTGCTTTTTTCTTAAGGAGTAAAATCTGCTCTTGATAAGAAAGAATCATTCTTTCCAACTCTTCTTCAAGATGTTGAGCTTGCTTTCTATACTTGTCCAGCTGGTCAGTGGTATAATTGATCTTTTTGTCTTGTTTAGAAAGTTTCTCTTGTCTCTCTAACTGGCTATTTTCCTCTGCAGTGAATGTTTTGTAAAGTCTCATTGTTGTTTCTTCATGTAATTCAGTCATTATTTCGAGTTTCTGTTGAAGCTTCCGATTCTCACTTTCAAAACCTGTGTTTTCTGATTGCAAAGATGCTTGTTCTGACTCAAGATGTTTAATGTGCCCCATAAGCTGCTTCTCTGTTTTATCAATTTCAGACAATTCAGTATAAATTTGGTTTCTTTCGCCTTCTAAACTTTTTAAATAAGCATTTGACTTAGCAGCATCAATCAGTTTTTTCAAAGCTCCTTTTGGAGGATCAGCTAAGGAAGCGTCACTTTCCGACTCACTCTTCATTTCTACTTTCGAGTTATGATCGTCCATCATGTCTTCTCCAAGGATAGCAGACCAGTCTTTCATGTTGAGCAAGTGTTTAGTCAGCGTCTTGATGTCATCGTCTTTGTCATTTAGGACTTGTTCTGTGTGTACATTGGAGTCTTCAAATATTATTTTCTGTATATTCAGTTCACTCACTTGTTCTTTCCATGCTTCAGCTTCCTGCAAAAGATGTTTCTGGCTTTCCTGAAGTTCAGAATTTTCATTCAAAGCATCTTTTATAGCTGTCTTCAGTTGTTTGCCATTCATTTGAAATATGTTCAAGGGCGTTTTGGCTTCAGCTACACGTGATTTCAGGGATTTTGACAGATCTCCTAGAGACTGTCTGATTTCTGAAATATCCTCCATCAACTGATGTTGTCTAGAATGTATGTATTTCTCCTCTTGTAACTCTTTTTTTAGATACGGTATTTCGTCCTCCATTTCAGAAACAAACCTGTTCAGCTTTTCACAGGTTTCCTCCAAACTCTGTGCTTCTGCTGCGTTCTTCTCAAAGCTCACGTCCTGTAAAGATGACTCTCTTTCATAGTCTTCATAGCTTTTCTGTAGAAAACTAAATTTTTCAAGCAGTTCACATTTTTCTTTAATTTGCTCAGAAAGCTCTGCAGCAAGCTTTTCTTCTCTTCCCAGATATCGCCGACTCCTGACTGACCTAAAACTTCTCCAGAAAAAAAGGGGAATAGCAAGAAATCCAATAACACCTGCCCATATCACTAATTCCCATGGAAAACCATTAGAATTTGATACCATACTTTCCAGCAGTGCCGCCACAGTCCTGGGTAGCTTCTCCATGACCAGCCCCAAGTAAGGCTGAGGGGTAGCTCCGGGCTCCTACATAGCGCCACGGCTGTGGTGGTGGTCGCCGCAGTAACCCCAGAACTTGGAATCAGTAGCCTTCAGTCTGGAACTGGAGCAGACCACTGCGGAACCGGCTGCGGGGGGAGCTGTGGACAGGGGAGGGGGTGGTGGAGGGCACTGGAGGGCACTGGAGAACAGGTAGCCTTCAGTCTGGAACCTGAATCCACAGGCAGCAACTGGAGCAGACCAATATGGAACCGGCTTGGGGGGAGCTGCGCGATGCGGACACCCACAGGTCTCACAGGCCCACGCTGCCCACCCCGACCCCCGTGTTACACTTTACATCTTGAGGTGGTGCAGGTCCAGGCCTGACCCCCATTTAACTGTTTTTATTGGTAATATCATATTGTGTTAATTACTTTAGCTTTTTAATAATACAAAGATTTCGGAAGGAGAGACTGCAAATTTATGATTCTTCAAAATTGCCTTGGCCATTATTGACGTTTTGCTCTTCTATGTGAATTCTACTATCAACATGTGAAGTTTCATTTATAAAATCATTTTGGCTATTTTTTTTTTTTTTGCTTGCTTTTAGAAACAGGGTCTCACTCTGTCACCCAGGCTAGAGTGCAGTGGTGCACAGTTCACTACAGCCTCAAAACCCTGGACTCAAGAGCTCCTCCCACCTCAGCCTTCCAAGTAGCTAGGACTACAGGAGTGTGCCACCACACTGAGACATTTGGGTATTTTCAATTGCATTATATTTACAGGTGATTTGGGACAAATTTCCTTTTTGCATCATGAAGGTAACATTTTCCCCCTTTAAGATTATCTTTTGTGTCCTTCACAAACATTTTGTAATTTCCTGTGTTGATGTTTTGTGCATATTTTGTTGTTATTACTAGTTTAAGAGTAGCTTTTAAAAAATCGGTTTTTTTTTTTTTTTGAAAGAGTCTCGCGTTGTCGCCCAGGCTGGAGTGTGGTGGGTGCAATCTTGGCTCACTGCAGCCTATGGCTCCGAGGTTTATCCAATTCTCATGTCTCAGCTTCCTGAGTAGCTGGGATTACAGGCATGCACCAACATGCCTGGCTAATTTGTGTACTTTTAGTAAAGACAGCGTTTTGCCATTTTGGCCAGGTGGCTCTCAAACTCCTGACCTCAAGTTGATCTGTCCACCTCGGCTCCCCAGAGTGCCGGGATTATAGGCATGAGCCACTGCTCTCAGCCTAATCACATTTCTTAATTGGTCACTGAATGCAGGAACACCATTTGAATTTATATTAAGCAATGTTTGTTTTTAAAAAAAATCGCTATGATATGTTTAGTTAAAACAAAACATCAGAATGCATCCTACAAAATAAGCATATTGTTTGGTAAAACTCAAACAAGAGTTACAAACTAAAATGCAAAATTCATTAATTTGAATTTCAGGCATTTGAAGCTAGTATTCTCAGTTTGAAACTGTTCCATTACTTGGCGTTCTTTTGTATCTGTGAGAATAGACAGATATACCGTTACTGTCTTTAGATTTCTCAAACAATCATAATTTCCCTTCATCTTTAATAATTCCATCAGTTATAGAATTACATATTAACATAGTAGTCTGAAGATTTTACTCTTGTTGCTGATGAGAAATTTGATTAGATACCGTTGACTTCCCTCTGTAGATACTGTCAATTACTTCAGGTAGCATCTTAAGGTTTTCCTTTTTTCATGATGCTCTGTAGTTTTACTTTGGTAGCTGACTTAATTTTATTATTATCAACACATACAGCTAATTTCCCATCTAGAGACATTTCTTTCTTCATTTCTAGTAAACTCTGTGTCATTATCACTTTGAGTCTCACTTTTCTACCGTCTTTCTCTTCTTGGCCATTTGTCAACATTTATCAGCTAAAATCCTGTTAAGCCTATTTGCTTATCCTCCAGGTTTCACAAGTGTTTTCATGTTTTTTATATCTTACTGTCTCCAACTTATTAATTTCTTATGAATGAATTAGCATCATATTTATGCATTCTCACTTTCATTAGTCTAATGATCTCTTTGTAATTTTAATGACATTGGCCATATTTGTCATTTCCAAGATATTTAATTGTTTCAATTTTAATATTTTTTCTCTTCCATGTGTAATTTTGGCTCTTTCGATGTCTCTATTTCTTGTTATTTTCAATTTTTTCCCCCTTTGGCTCTTTGATAAACCCCAAGTAAATATCGTTCAGATTCTTCTTTCATTTTCATTTTCATTTTCATTCGTCTTCTGCTTGGTGGGGATTTTTACGTTGCCTTTTTAAGAATCCATGTGTTGTGGAAATTGAATTTTCACATTTTAAGGGGTTATTTTTTAACCTCTTTTTTAGTACTCACTTCTCTCTGCTGGAGAAGACTGTCTCATTAAATTATCTTGGCACCCTTCTTTAACAAATCTTTTTAAACAAGTTGTGGTAGGAAAACTGGATATCTATCTTTAAAAATTAATTTGGACGCCTACTCTATACTATATACAAAATTAACTCCAAATGGATCAAAGACGTAAACACAAGAGATAAAACTATAAAACTCCTAGAAGAAAACACAGGCATAAATCTTAATAACCTTTCTTGACATTTGCTAAGAGAGCAGACTCTGAGTGCTCTTACCACAAAAAATGGTAATTGTGTGAGGACAGGAATACATTAAGTAGCTTCCCTGTAGTATTCGGTTTACTGTGTATATGTATATCAAAACATCACATCACACACCTTAAGTAAATGTGATTTTAACAAAAATTTTAAAGAGAAATGCAAAATGAAGAGTTCTGATGGTAAATGTAGTGCCTGCTGTCTGTAAAAAAGGACATTTTTCCAGAGAAGACTTACAAACAGCCAATGGGTATATGAAAGGGTGCTCAATATCACTAATCATCAGGAAAATGCAGATCAAAATCACAATGAGATATCACTTGTTAGGAAGGTTATTACCAAGAAAAAAGCCAAATGGTAACAAGTTGTATTAGCCCATTTTCACGCTGCTGATAAAGACATACGTGAGACTGGGCGATTTACAAAAGAAAGAGGTTTAATGGACTCACAGTTTTCTACATTGCTGGGGACGCCTCAAAATCATGGGAGAAGGTGAAAGACACACCTCACATGGCAGCACACAAGTGAAGAGAGAGCTTGTGCAGGGAAACTCGCTTTTTAAAAACCATCAGGTTTCATGACACTTATTCACTGCCATGACAACAGTGTGGGAAAAACCCGCCCCCATGATTCAATTATCTCCCACTGGGTCCCTCCCACCATACATGGGAATTATGGGAGCTACAAGATGAGAGTTGGATGAGGACACAAAGCCAAGCCATATCACAGGCGTTGGCAAGAACATTGAGAAATTGAAACCATTTTTGCTGTGTTGTCGGAATGCAGAGAATGATGCAGCCACGATGGAAAACAGTATAGGGGCTCCTCCAAAAATTAAAAATAGAACGACCTTGTGATTTAGCAATCCTACTTCTGGGTGTGTATATCCAAGAGAATTGAAATCAGCATCCTGAAGCACTATCTGCATTCCCATGTTCACCGTAGCAATAGTCACAATAACCAAGATAAGGAAACAAACTAAATGTCTGTCAACAGATGAATGGATAAAGAAAGTGGGGGCATATACATACCATGGAATATTATTCCACCCTAAAAAATAAAGGGAATCCTTCCATTTGTAGTAACATGAATTAACGTAGAGGACATTCAGCTAAGTGAAATAAGGCAGGTCACAGAAGGACAAACAGTAGGTGATTCCACTTATATGAGACATTTAAAATAGTCAAACACCCAGAAGAGGAAAATAGAATTGTGATTACCAGGGGCTTGAATGAGTCGAAAATGGGCAATTGTTGCTCAATGGGTATAAAGCCTCAGTCATGCAAGATGAAAAAATTCTAAGATCTGTGATACAAAATAGTACCTACATTTAAAATATGGCATTGTGTACTGAAAAACCTGTTGTGTTCTTACCATACACAAAAATATAAACAAAGACCACATACATGAAAGAATACAAGAAAAGTTTTGAAAGTTATGAATATGTCTAGCACCTTGATTGTACTAAATGGTATCACATGTGTATGCATGTTCAAATTCAACAAAATACATACACTAAGTATGTGCAGTTTTGTGTTTATAAATTGTACGTCAATGAAGCCAAAAATATCCTGTGACCTTGGATTAGACAATGGTTTCTTAAGTAGGACAGCTAAAACACAAGCAGTCAAAGGAAAAACTACATAATAAAACTTCATCAAAATTATAAAACTTATGTGCTTCAAGGAACATTATCAAGAAAGTGAAAATGAAAACCATATAATGGAATAAGATATTTGCTAATTATATATCTGACAAAGGTCTAGTATCTAGGATATATAAAGAATCCTTACAACTCAACAATAAATGTAGCCCAATTAAAACCTGGACAAAGGATTTAAATAGACATTTCTCCAAAAAAGATAAATTGTTAACGAGCACAAGAAAAGATGATCAATATCCTCAGCAATTAAATAAATTCAAGTTAAAACAATGAGATACCATTTTACACCCACTAGGATCACTGTAATTGAAAATACAGGTAATAACAAATATTGGTAAGAATGTGGAGAAATTAGAACTCTCATACTTTGCTAGTGCAAATGTAATTGAGTTGGAAAATAACTTGACAGTTCCTCAGAAAGTCCAACATAGAGTTACCATAGGACTCAGCAATTTCACTTCTAGGTATATGCCCAAGAGAAATAAAAACATATGTCCATAGAAAACTTATACACAAATGTTCGTAGCAGTATTATTAATAGTGGTCCCAGAGTGGAGACAACCCGAATGTCCATCAACTGATGAACGAATAAGCATGTTAGCATGTCCATTCAATGGTATTATCCAGTCACAAAAAAAGAACGAAGTACTGATACATGGATGAACCTTGAAGATATTATACTAGGTGAAAGAAGCTGGGCACAAAAGGCCATCTACTGTAGGATTCCATTTATATGAAATGTCTAGAATAGGCAAATCCATGCAGTGAAAAGTAGATTAATAGTTGCCAGGTGCCAGGAAAGTGGAGAATGGGGAATGGCTACGAATGTGCATGGCTTTTCATTTACGGGTGATGAAAGTGTTCTGCAACTAGATAGTGAAAATAGTTGCATGACTTCTTGAACATACTTAAAAACCAGTGAATTGTACAATTTAAGGAATGGATTTTATGGTTTGTTAATTAAATCTCAACTTAAAATAGATTAAATATTAATTAGCAGATATAAAAGGCATTTGATATATATCATAGCTCTTCCTTTTCCTCTTCCCCTGCTCCCAGATCCTAAGGAAACACTGATGCCTACGTCACCATGTTTATCCTGCGGCTTCTTTTATTCCCTGGCTCACCTCCAGGCACTCATAGTTAAAAAACATGGGCCTAGGAAGCCGAAAAGGGAATCAAAGAGCCAGAGGTTCTCGGGTCCCTTAGGTGATGGCCGCGGGAAACACTTTCTACTACATTTTTCTCGTGGCAAAGGAAATATATTTCAGATTAGCCTATACAGTTGGTTGGAAAAGCCTTTAAAATTCGTCACATTTTTTTTGCTCTCATTTCGTGTTCCTGAAACCACTTTCCCAAGGATTACAACAGCAAGAAGGGAGCATTTCCCCCCATTATCGAAGTTATTGTCATTGAAAAATCATATGCATTTCCTATCTATCTATCTATCATGGATTCGTCTATCACTGTATTCATTTATTTGGCCCCCAGTAACTTGATAAACTTGAATCACTCTCCCTGAGTCTGAGTCTGGGAGACTGAAAAAACCAAGGACCAAGACTCTGAATTAAGGTAAATTAACCTCCATTAGGGACGCTAAGTAGATTTTAATCTATATGCTAACTTCAATACATTAACAGTTGAGAGCATGTTTCTATCAATATGACAATCTTTTTTGCATGAGGATGATTTCTGAAACACTTACAATATGATCAGAAAGGAAGAAAGACAGAGGTGCTGCCATGCCCTGCCTGCAGGAAGTCTGTGCTCAGTCTACCTGTTCCTTCTGTCCTTTCCTTCTTTTTCTCCCTCCCACTGTCCCACTCATTTTGAGGCCCACACATTCACTCGGTGAACAACCATTTACTCTGACAGGTATTGAACTACGCTGACTACTAAAAATCACAGAAAGTAAAGACTTCATCAAGGCCTTCAAGAAGGTCACTGCCTGAAAGAGGAAAGAAACAAACACAGTCACAATAGCATGCAGACAAGTCTTATACCAGAAGTTTGTAGAAAGTGCCATGGGTAGAAGAGGAAGGAAGATAAAACTCTGCCTGAGGGAACCCAGTAATGCTTCAACTGGGAATTGCAAGAATGGTGAATCTACCACCAAGCACAGGGCAGCTCAGCACCAAGCAGAGCTCAGCAGCACCAACCAGCTCAGCACTGGGGCAGTCCCAGCTTTCATCTGTCAGTCACAGGTCCCTCCCCGTCTTCCACTGAAGACTCCCACTCCAGCCTCCCTGGCTCCCTCCCTATCTCCTCTCAGCTTCCCAAGTGGTTTCAGCACCCAGACAGATGACAATTCCTCCTCCTTCCTGCCTCCTCAGACCTTTAACCTTCCAGTTGTCTGCTCCCAGGAATCAGCAATCTCTCCTCTGCTAGCTCATTCCCAGCAGCTTGTAAATGTGCTCTAAATCACTCATCTTACAAAGGCCCTCTCTTGAGCTCACATGCCTTTCATCAACGACACCATCAGCAGTGAAGCTTCTTTAAGCCATTGTCGTTGTCTACGCCAGGCAGCTCCACTGATACACTTCCTGTTCCCTCCACAGACCCTCTGAGCTGGCTTCACCCACCCGCTCCACAAGAGCAGCTCATGCCAGGAGCACCAGTGACAGCCATGTTGGCAAATCCAAGGAAGACTTTTCTGTACTTAACAAACTGTACCACTCAGCAGCAATTCCAAGTTGATCACCCCTTCCTTCTTGAAAAATTCCCCACTCGTGTGAAAACAAATGCTCGTGCCTCCTTACTACTTCTCTGGCTGCATCTACTCAACCATCTCTACCCACCTTCCAGATCTCTGTCGGTGGGCTCAGTCCAGTGCCCCCTGTCCTCTCACGCTGCTCACTCCAAAATAACCAGCAACCATTCCCATGCCTATAAACTGATGCCTCCCAAATGTGTGTCTTCAAGCCAAATACCTCTGAGCTCTAGTCACATACACTGGCTTCCTTTTGGTTCCAAACTCTTTAGTACTTCAGGGCTTTCGCTTACGTTGTTCCTTCTGCAAAAAAAAAAAAAAAAAAAAAAAAAAAGAAAAAATTGGCCCAGCTACCTCTTTTTCGTCTTTCAGCCTTTAGCTTAAATGCTACCTCCTCAGAGACTCATTGGAAGTCCATTCTAAGGGGGCTCCCTTGTCACTGCATGCTGTTCTCCACTTTCAAGTACTTAAGGCACAATTCTATCATGTATTTACTACCTGATTTTCCAAAAAGACTGACAGCCTTAAGAAGGTGGGGACCTAATTTATTTTGTTCACCTAACACCTGTTGCAAACAAGGTACTCCAGAAATACTTGTCCAAAGAATAAAATTTGCTTGGGCTGAAAATCAAAGGACCAACAGTCAGCGGTAGTCATAAGTTGAGTTCCACTCTTTCTTAGACGTAGAGGTAGGGAAGAGGGTAGAAAACATTACAGGTAAAAGGAATGTGCAGATTCATATGGACAAAGCATAGACGCAAGAGTGTGGCCTGCTCAGAGGAAAACAAGCAGTCTAGAAAGACCACAGAGCTGGCTCCCACCCTGTAACACTGCTGATCCCCGCTCCTGGGGTGAAAGGGGCAAGTAACTAAAGGGTGTCTGATAATTATTCCATACATACACCAAGAACTATCTACACAGACAGCATGTTCATATTTATATGTTTTAATACTGAGAAAGTATTCATATTTTTCAAGCTTACCTTTATGTATTATGAATATAAGGTTTTTAATATAAAAATAACGTACAAAGTATTTTCAAATTCTTAGTTTGATGTTTTTATTTCAATTAACAAGTACTAGAAATTCTACTAGAGTTCTCTAGAGCTCTATAATTCTAGATACTAAGAAGACGAAATAATTCTCAAAAAACCTGTAAAATACTACTCGGGCATACAACAGAAAGACTCGGCAGACACAAGGCCCAACAGTCAATTTCTCACACCAAAAGTCAGTCGTGCTTTGGTCTTGCAGGGAAATTTATACAAGTCATCTTTGAACTGGAGAATCTAGAAACTGGATGGGTGTATAATTATGTACCTTGGAAAGATCATTAAAAGCTGGAATTACTCAAGTGTACTCATGAATATTCTGCAGTAGGAAAAAAATCAGAGTTAAACTAATTTTCTCTCATTCTGTCACCCTCACTCCAGCATACACGATGATTGCTCACGATGTAATTATGACAAAATCCAACCACAATGTAAAAGCTCAAAAATGAATAAAAGGTTCAGGCTCACCACATGACATTAAAAAGGCAGGTCACGTGAACAACAAAATAAAATCATTAACATTGGGTAACTTCTAGCTGATAAAATTACAGGTCCCTTAATAATATCTTTGTGTTTTCTAAATTTTTTCTATGATAAATATATATTACTT